GCTTACCCCGACGCCGCAGATGACATAATCCAGGAGCTTGCCAAGGACGCATTCATTGACTCCTTGGAGGCAGATCTGCGTCTCCGCGTGCTGGACGCGAATCCATGAAAGAAGAAAAGAAGAAAAAAACCTGTTTTAAACTACTGTACATGTACATCCGTCAACAGGTCCTCATCGAGTCACTAAGGCCCCGGTCACACCGAAACAAGCCACTTTTGGCTTGTTATCGCTGGCGCTCAGCTGGCTTGCGTGATCCCTGTGACGCGGTCACACCAGACCTTGAGTGCAAAGCTTGAATGGCTTGTTTTTCTTACCCGCCAAATTTTGAATATCTCGAAACACACCAATGTTTGCAAGAAACTGGAGAGCAGAACGTTCGCGACCTAACTTGTTCTAGTGTTCAGTTTTAATGAAGAAGCAAAGGAAGCCCGGATTCTGAATTGCGAAGTCGTGCTCTTTTTATTTGTTCGGTGTGCATGGACGCGATGGTTCGGGTGGTGTTTCCTGATGTCGAGCTTTCTGCCCCGCCGGTTGCCGTTATTGAACTCAGTTGCAATCCACTCTCTTCTTCGTACCCGGCTTTCTTCATGAATTCTGTCGTGAGTGTGGTGCCTTGTCTTGGCCTCAAACCACAGCTCCAACAATCTACGCAGCAGTCTAGAGGCACAGCGGCAGAAATCCATGGTCGTCGGACAAAATCCGAATCAAACTGAATACAGTGTAGTTGGGGTAGACAGACTCACGGTCAAAACCAAAGGCACAGGGATAGCACGGTTCCACGGACACAAGAAAGAACATCAATATCAGTTCATCATGTCAACTACATGTAGCTACATGGTGTGCTCCGGAGCTCCAAGCGCACTCAAATTATTTTTTGAATTTCGGCTTTCAGCCGCTTGTACAAGCTGTGGCTGAAACAAGCCGGAAAAAAACGGCTGAGAGTCAGCCACAGCTGAAAGTCGCTTGTAGGACATTTTTCAGCCATTTCCATGGTAATAGTGACGTAAACAAGCGCTTGTTTCGGCTGAACGGCTGAATCGAGCTCGGTGTGACCGCGGCCTAAAGTGGAGGTCGATTAGGTCGAGCTGGGTCGTAGCGACATTTTTTTTTTTTTTTAATTTCGGCCAGTCGGCTACTATCATTTTCGTCTTGGGGGCTAGACAAGGGGAAGTAGCCATGCGACATCCGGAGAGACAGCAGGAGAGACAGTAGGCGCGACATCAGTAGATACATGTTCATCAAGGGATACATCAGCAGGCGCGACATCAGAGACGGCCGACTGATCTGGGCGAGGTAGTGATTCCGGCGGAGCGACGGAAGACTGATCCTCATCCTCGGGAGGTGGCGATTTCCATGTAGCTGACAGTGGTGACCATGGTCGAAGTGAGAATCTTTGTGGCAAGGCCTCTTCCAGGCCTTTGTGATTAGATGGAGAATAATACCTTAAATGTAGAGGGTAATTCTTGTCTCCAATGGAGTACTGAGAGAACCACAGACTTCCCACTAGTCAACTAACAGTTTGTGAGCAAAGTCGAGTGCTGCCTGCGCATACGAGCTAGCTGTACCAGTGACGGTGTTAGTTCCTGAAAGGTAAAGTCATGGAGAGGCGCAGTGCTAGGCTCAGGGTGTCGACAGGATCTGTCAATCACTCTAGGTACAGCTTGACAACACATAAACGTTTTCGTGGTAAATGTAGTTACCCTCACCACACCGTCTTCCCCCAGCTCCTTTCGCATCACCACTGAACGAGGACACTTTCCACGAAGTCGGTGGTGAAGCTTGGCTGTGTGTAGTCGGCGAAGACCTTCGCAATGACAGTGCCATTGCGGAAAGTGCCAAGGTCCTGGAGCTGCAGGGGGCATTTTCCAACGAGGCCAAGACTCCTGATGAAGTACCCAGTGGCTGTGACCTGGCCTTCGTCATGTCAAACTTCGATGGAACTCTGTTCGATAAGCTGTGGAGCAAGGTCAGGTTTCTAGGAGTAACCACGTCAGGATTCTGGGTCCACCTTGTTTGCACTACTCAACGTCTACATTGCTCAGCGGTTCGTCCATTCTGTGCGCGTGTGTTGCTGTCCAGGCACTGCCACTATCTGGTCCACATCTTCTGGGTTTTGGACATGGTATTTTCTTGTTCGGCGTGTGTGTTGTCACTGTTGAGTGCCCATCACTGAACAAATTGTTGTTTGGTGGTCTTGATACGCACCAAATTCAGTCTCACTCCGTTTTCACCCACCAGCACGTCGTCCGTGTATCTGTAGCTAACCTTTGTTACGACTTTGGTGATGCGTGACTCCATCCTAACCAAACAGCCATGCATATCATGCACTGACTGTTACCAACTTCCGAACCATTCAACAGGAGGCCCGTTTATTCATCTGCTTCATGGGCTTTCGCTCTGGCGAGAAGAAGGACATGGATGAGCTGGTTATGAAAGTACGGTACATGGGTGCTGATGTGAGGACAGACATATCCGATGTCAGTCATGTGGTTGCCCCCAATGTTACAAGTAACAACGTTAGTTCTCGTTATGAGAAAGCCCATGGCGCTGGGTCGGTGACTGCATGCGTACTGTTCAAGAACTACAATGTAATAATATTATTGTTCTCAACTCCCTGGAACATGTGTACATTAGTATACTGCTCACCGTTCATGTAGGTATACGTTTTTGTTGTGAATGTGGTTACTTGGACGAAGAGCGAGTACGCGAAGTTGAGCATGCCTCCTTCGTGCCCGTTGTGCTTTCTGCCTCTGGTGGCTATGGCAAGCATGCCAATGCTCTTTTCACGCGGATCGCCTCTCTCCTGGCTGAGAAGAGTAAGAAGCCATACGGGCAGATTATCTCCTTGCTGCGCTGCCGCCTCGGGTTTGCCCTGGTGCGTTGTGGTGCTATGTGCCTGCGTGGCTCAAGGAGCATGTTTGCTCCTGCGGTGCCTGAGTCCCCTGCTGTGCTAGTGGCGACGGAGGCACGCATCCAGTGAACCTACTGAGTGACAGACTCTATAATCATTACTGTATCTGATGATTCGTTTTTAATATGTAATTGTGTTGATTCTTCACCAACAAAAAAAGTACTGGTACAGGAGGTTGTGTGACTACTGTACAGTGACAGTCAGGGAATATACTACAGATGTACTACAGATGTACTACACATGTACTACAGATGACTGTAATACAGTTATGTACATGTACACTGTACATGTCATACTCATCTAATCTAACACAAATAAGGGCTCATTGGAAATATGTGAGAATAGGCTCTCCAGTGGTGTGTCGTTTGATATAGCGCAACGACGTGGAAACACACTGAGCGTCGATGAACGAAACGCGAGTACGCCGGCTAACGCCGCGCGGCTTGAAATAATTGTTTTGAAAATTTCATGCGCAGAGCTCTTCGCGATTTGGCGTGCATCAGCTGCAGCGATTGTACAGTACTACAATGTAGTACTGAGTACTACTACTAGCGTGCCTCGAGTCAAGAGGGGACTTTCCTTGTGACTCATCGCTGCACAGTGCATAATAATAATTATGCGCATGCGAAGTATTAGAGATCAAAAATGATTCGCTTGAGCTTCGAAACTAACTAAACTTACTTACTAGTGTTACTTCATGAATCTGCAGCGCGCGCTAGCGCAGGAGTTTGAATGATTGTCCTACGTTGAGAAAAACTTGAGCAACGATGATATAATTTGAGAAGGCTGGTACAGAATCTCGCTCTGGCGCAATAAGGCAGCTCTCAACAGGCTTGAAGGCGATTCTGTCTCTCCTGTGGGTGCCTAGTGGCGATATTCAGAGAGAGAGAGAGAGAGAGAGAGAGAGGGAGGAGATATGTGCATGTAGTTTTCCAATGAGACCAATATGAAAACAATACGGAACTGGTGAGTGAAATTATATCATTTTCGTATGCATGCTGAGATCCCGTGCGGTGGCAGGAATCTGTGGATTTAGCACCAGGGCGCAAAAGGTTAAAAGAGAAATGAATTGCTATGAGAAATTTAAAATGGCAAGTGTTAGTTGTTTCTGCGAGTTTGAACTTTGAGTCTGATGAATCCAGTCTTACAATGGCTGGACCTTAGGCATGTGGAAATCCCCCCCCCCCCCCCACAGAATCTACAAGGGAATGCCTGTTTTCGTGTAAATCAGACGAACTATGCTACATTTCCGAGGGCGATTATAAAATCGAGTTTCGGCCGCATTCAAATTAGCCTGCACTGCCGTTGCCTGCACACTCTGTCATACTTTACCTTGCAAAGTAATAATATTTCAACCGTAACAGATTTTTAGGCCTCGAATGCTCAGGCCAATTTTTTTAATCTGTGGATCAATCAGAAATGGTTGAGAAGCAAGCGTGGTGTCCGGGGAGATTAAAGGGGCACTCCGGCTTCATTTTCGACGCCGAATTTTCGATCGTTAGACGAAGGTAGGTGAAAAAGAAAACCCCTCGAACAAGAACGAGTCTCCAGAAGCGATCGAGTCGAGCGGGAAGACGGCTTTTGAATTTCGGGATCGCTCACGACGGTGGAAGAACATAGCAAACAACCTCCTCTTCGATTCAAAATTGGCCAAAAAGTATATGAAATGTATTTGCCCAGGTGCATTTCCACTGGCAAGCTGATCCCTCATTACGTCATCAGCGCTCGCTCGGCGAAATTCAAAAGTCGTCTCCGGGCAAATAATCAGGCAGGCAATGGCAAGCATAATTTACTTTGGTTTTGGGCTGTGGTATGAGAGAAACATGGACACGGCGAATGGTATTTTCGGTATTTGACCACTTGGTGAAGGGTCTGATCTACCTTACCTTCCCACACTTAGTTGCTGAATCTGCTCATTTGTATGCGGAAATTTCAGTCTAATGCCTCACGCGGACCGGAAATTGTTTTTGTTCTGTTTCTGGCACTTATCTTGTTCAGATGGACACACGGTGGATGGCTAACCTAACAAACTTTATCACCGGCTTAAGTGTTGTCCCAGGCAGCGCAGCATGCAGCTCCCCCCCCCCCCCCCCCCCTCTCCGGACGGATTTGCAAATTGCACGTACCCAGCATCGAGCGTATCGTGGCGAGAACGAGGCAGGCCACCGGTTCTGTGCAAAGAACTTGCGTGGGCATGATCTATGATAACTCAACACTGACAAGCGGTGTGCGACGTGAGCCAACGAGAACCAACACCTATTAGATTCATCGTAGAACCTCCACTCACCCCTGACTGGATGGACTTTGAACGTAGTAGGAACGATGGAAGCCACCATTGAAGTCCCAGGTGAGAATGGGTTTGACTTTAATCTTCAAGACACCATATTTCTGACGTCTGCTGGACTCAGACCACTGCCATTTCTTTTCTGTGTGAAATGCTCACCTCAAATGGTTATAGATAGGGAGTTTGCTGCTAACGACACCTCGTCAAGTGTTGTAGAGGGATGATCTCCATCCGTACAAATGCCACAGGTTCGGTTGTCGCTTTGAACGCGGAGCGACAACAGGACTCTTTCTTGCTTCTTTTGACGCAAAATATGGGCAAAAAAAGGGTGGTGGCTGGAAGCCGAGTCTCACGCGAACCGTGAAATTTTTATTTTTATGGGCAAAAAAAGAAATTCACGGTTCGCTTGAGACTCGGCTGGACGCCGAGTTTTCCGCATCCGCAGGAACGCCACCACTCTCTTGGATCAAGGCGCAGATGAAGCTCCTAAAGTGTTGCGAGGCGAGTAGATCAGACCCACCACAAAGTGGTCAAAGACCGAAAATCCCATTCACTGCATCCATATTTTCCTCGTGCCAGACCACGAGTTCCCAATTAACTGTTCGTCACAGCACGGCTGGAAAAAATCCTTCCGCTTCCAAGCAGGACTTGAACCTGTAACCCTCTGTTTCTCAATCGTGGTCTTAGACCATCCAACTATGCCTGCCTGCTAAAATATATTATGTGCAAGCTGGATAGCAAATGGTTGAATTACAACATCGCAAACTCATCGACCTAGAGTGGTCGATTTTTTGTATGGATGGCTGGATAAGGGTTTGTAGATGTATTGAAGCTAGACGTAAGGTCGTTGAATGTCGCAGTGCCCCTGTTCAGTGTTGTGTGCGTTGTTCTCACCGTATCGGACTGTGTATATCTTGTTACATCGGTGAACCTTTTGTCATAGCTCGTAATAATTATGTTGTCATTCCTGTTATACCTGGATACGATTGGCTCACCACCTGAGTTCCTCTGCATCATCGGTTATTAGTACAGGAAAACTTGTAGCTAAAGACCACCGTGACTAGCGACCAGCCTGGTACTACAGACCACTTTGCCAGGCACGGACGGTCTAACATTCATATATGGTTGTGCGGTGCAAGCCTCTAACTAAGGACCACCTGCCACTAAAGACCACTTTCTCTGGTCCCAAGGGGTGGTCTTTAGTCACAGGGTTTACTGTATTAGAGTTAGGGCTCTAAAAGGAATGCTGAGTGATAGGATAATGTGTGTATTTGTGTTGTGTGTGGTACGGGATCATTCAGGAACGGTAGAAGATTTCCTTGGAAGAGGAATGGATATCGGACCTTATCGGTGGTGCACACCACATGATAGTGGAGGGTTAAAGCGGGTCCCACTGCTGTCACAGCCGCGTCGCCTCTGTATACAGCCCATCGCCCAATAACCTGGTAAGTCTCTTTCTCGTGTGTGTTAGAAGATCAACGAATGACTGAAAGTACAAGAATAAGAGCATGAAGATGTGTTGGTACTCCGAGTTTCACACACTAGGAGATCACCAGACAACAGGGGTGTCGGAAGGTAACTTAGTGTGATACGGTCAGCCATCTGAAGTACAATTTTCTCGTGGGGGAGGGTGGAGATTTAGAGCCCAAATCAGTGCATTTTATCGATTCACAGTTTATTTGGGGCAAATGGTGCTGCGGTCAATACCGTAGTGACCGCACCGTGTCCGACGCCCCTGGACAACAGTGTCTGCGTAGTTTGTGAAACTCGGAGTAACAACACATTTTTCGTCCTCTTCATCTTGTTGGAAGTTTCTCTGCCATTCGGCATTGATAACTGTACTGGACAGCCTAGAATCCCTCTGCTTTATGACTGGTAATTAGGGTGTAATGTGATACATGCACGGTTCAAGTCTTGCTCCTTCAATGAATCACCACTATGAATTCAACCTATTTGTAATATTGGCCGTGTTCTTCGATTTTCCATGAAGATAAGCGAAAAGAAATTCCAAACTCCTTGTAGAAGTGAGACTGACTTTTCACATGCGCAGGAATGTCTTCCTCTGCCATCAAGGATTAGTACGCAGATACATTATGCATTTGAAGCCGTAAATGGTGTACCCGATAGTAATGTAACTAAGGCCTAGTCGAAACTATATTATGGCTGACATGCTTCGTCTGTTAGTGATTTTAAAGTGCCGCAGCTGATTGACCTTCACACTGTCCCCAGTTGTGATGGCAACATATGATCCACAGATTCTGGGGAGTGGGCCTGGGTGTGTACGTGCGTGTATATGTGTGTATGTGTGTGTGTGCATGTGTGTATGTGTGTGCGTGTGTGTGCCTTGCAAGCTGTTGAATGGTGTAATCCCAGCACAAGTTGCTATGTCTAACATAGCTGTTCGCTATCATCGCTTCCGCGATGGGCAGGTCTGAGGTCTGAGGTGTGTGTGTGTGTGCGTGTGTGTGTGTGTGTGCATTTGTGCATGGGAGCCCACATGCGGGAGCATGTGTGTCTGCACATGTACAGTGAAACCAGTCTAAGGTGACCACTCCAGGGACCTTCAAAACGTGCTCGCTGTATACAGGTGGTCTTCTTATCCAGGGTCATGTGATTGCAGGTAGCATGCCTTGGTCCGGGTTGTAGTGGTCCCCTGGGACAGGTGGTCGCCTTATCTGAGTGGTCTCCTTGACAGGTTTTACTGTTTTGTATATGTGTGTGTGTGGGGGGGGGGGGGGGGGGGGGGGGCAGAGTATGTTGGCGAGTTGTTTGGCGAAAGGAAGGTAGCAACTCAACCTTCTTGTTCTTCAATTTTTAAGTTGAGGATACTTTTTTCCCTCGTAACCTTGCGTCACGCTCTGTCATTTCTGGTGGCACAGTGACATAGTTGTTCCAGGTGCCTCTTGGTAGAGGAAAATATCTTCCACTGCTTACCGTCTTGGTTTTGATATCAGAAACTTATTGCATTGCTGTCAATTCGCGGACTCCCCCCCACCCACCCCCCCCCTCCCAAATTCGTTCTGCAAAACCCGTTGGTATTTGAAATTGAACTTTGTGTTTTGGCAAGGGAATGGCGACGAGTATCTTAGCGACACCTATGTGTTGTCTTGTCGGTGTGTAGTGATATCTTGTGTGATGATTCTCATATCTTGTTTTCTCCACAGGAATGACGACGAGTATCTTAGCGACAACTATGTGTTGTCTTGTCGGTGTGTAGTGATATCTTGTGTAATGATTCTCATATCTTGTTTTCTCCACAGGTGGATATGTTCACATGTGTGCCATGGTCAAATAATCTCTAATCAGTACCAAGTTGAGGTGAGTGTCATTGCTTGAGGTGTTATTGAATGCTTGTCTCAGTTTCCCGAATTCTGCAGGTGCAACATCCTGTTTTCCCCTCCATGACACGGATGATGGTATGTGAGCAGTGTTTGCTGGGCTGCAAGTGTGTGAAAACAAATGGATGGTTCGTAACTATTGGAGCCATCCATGTATTTATCAGCCCATTCCTCATTTTAAGTACACCAGTACAGTTAGCTGAAACATCTCCTATTTTCACACTGCCCGCTCCATCTTGGTCCCCCTCCCCACACACAAACTCTGGTTTTGTCACTCTTTAATGTTTGTGTGCACTACCAACACCAAACTTCTTATGCCGGTGCTTTAAATCCGAAAAAAACGTGGTGTTAAATTCGAGGCGTGCGTATACTTCATCACTGCTCAATGAAATCCAGTCACATCACTCAAGTAGGCGCCGGGCGTTGCGCAGCCATAGACCACTGGGAACACTGGGGTGTGAAGGGATACAAGGCGCAAACTAGAGTGACGCGACTGGATTTCAATGCAAGGAGGGCTGTTTCTTCTATGCAGTGCTGTTTCTCAGTGTTTCATGTGAGTGACAGCCAGCTAGTGTGTGTGTGTGTGTGTGTATGTGTGTGTGCCAGCTAGTTCGGTTGTTGGGTGCACTTGTGCCAGATAGTGTTGGGCCTGTTGCCAACGGGCTCGGCTGCTTGAAGGTGTATTGTTGTACCTACCACCTTTGTTGGTTTCAGGGTTCATATACTTTCTGTTTGAAGTATACATACCTGTTAACCATGGACTGCTTCTGGCTAGATTAACTCTTGTGTAATCAATGGTGCTAGTGAAGCTTATATCAGATCCACTCTGATTTAGCCACCGACACTAGTGCCAAGTATTACCTTCACTGGGGGCAGGGTACCTGCAGTTGGATCCCGGGACGGATACCCTGATGCTGTCAATCCTTTTCTGCGCCTTGTCACCCACTTACTGAGGTGTGGTGAGCCCATAAGTGGGATCATTTCAAGTCCACCCTAGTTTGGGGATTTCAGGGGGTGTCGGCCGTTGGGTGGTTCAATGGCCAATTGAGTCATCTTTCCAAGATTCCTTTTGAGTCTCTCTCCCCTCTCCCGGGGAGACCCACGTGACCAGTTTTGGCAGTGAGAGAAAGAAGAAGAAGTACAAGTACTGAGCAAGTATGTGTGTGTGTGTGTGTGTGTGTGTATATGTGCGGTGGGGTGATCCCGACACCATCCGCACGAAGGTGGAGCACCGCCGCCTTGAATGGCTCGGGCATGTTGCTCGGATGGAGGACCACCGGCTGCCGAAGCAAGTTCTCTTTGGCACGCTTCCATCGCGTCGCCCAGCTCATGGCCCTCGTCGGCGCTGGAAGGATTGTATCATGTCTGACCTTCGTTCTCGCGGCCCCGAGGGGGAATGGCGAGCTGAATGCGAGTCGCGTTCCACCTGGCGCTCGGCGTACTCAGCACCGGTAGATGCCCAGCATACCCCTCCCGTCACCTGCTACACCTGCGACCGATAGTTTACACGCCCCAGTGATCGCGCACGCCACAAGTGTAAGGCTGAGCGTGCGAAGCCGGTTGCGGAGCAGAAAGTTGCATGCCAGTGTGGAGAGTGTGGCCGTTGGCTGAAGTCCCGTGGAGGTCTGGCAAGGCACAAGTGTACAAGTACTTACCCCCAGTCAGCAGTCGGTGCGCCCCTGCCGCTGCCTGCCTCTCCGCTGTGCTGCGTCGCTCACTGCCAGGCTTGTGACCGCTGCTTTGCGTCTACACGTGGCCGCGCTCGTCATCGCTGCTCGCGGACTTGTAGTCGTCCGACCGTTCAGGACCGTCAGGGTTTCACGTGTGTTTGCGTCTGCTCCCGCCGATTTCGCTTACCGCATCACCTGGATCGTCACAGGGCTGTGTGCTCCTCCTCTCTCTCAGCTGCCCCTCCGGGGTCCACGTAACCTTCATGGCAGTGGCTCAACAGGACAGGACAGGACAGGTATATGTGCGTGTGTGTATATATATGTGTGTGCCGCCAGCTATCTTTGCTGGCAAAAGCGGTGGTACGTATCTCACCTGCTGTCCTCATCCTTGGTGTTTTCTGTGCAATGTTTTACCTGTATGTGCCAATTCACAGGTCACGGCATAGCTGATTGCAAGTACTGCGCGATCCAGCTACTGGAGCAGCAATGTAAGTGTGATCGCTAATAACCTTTTCCTGTGTCCGCACCTCATGCGACAAGTCACTTCTGATTGGTTATTGGTTCGCACCCTTGACTCAGAGTAATGTATATAAGCAAACCATCGAACGGTGGAGGGTGGGTTTGGAGGCTTACTCAATATCCTCTCCTCTCTCCCCCCCCCTCCCCCCTCTAAATTATTCTGGGGGAGATTATGTTTGGCTGCCTGAAAACCCCCTGCATTTTTCCCCCCATTACTTTCCCCTCCTGCAAAAGCTTACCCTCTTTTCCCACCATGTACGCAGCTGGGCCAGGCGTGACATTAGTGCCCATAGCGTGATCTGCAGAATTTTCCACGCAGGCGGTGCTGGGCCAAGCGGGAATCTAGACCCGGTAGCTTGATTCGCAGCTGTTTCCACACGGAACGGACGGTGCAGCTTCTTGCAATGTTACTCTGAAACCGTGCCGGTATTATCATGAACATCTTTTTAACCCTTTAAGAGCCACAGGAAATTTTCAAAAATCTGCATTTTTTCATGTTCCTCGGATCATAGCTTCAGTTCTACTCACTCAATCCTCACAATCTAGGGCTTCCTGGAAAGGTATCCGCGAGAGGAAGAGAATGAGGTCGATCATGATAGCCAGCACACCGTCTATCCAGCGCTAGATCGCAGCGACAGTACGAAAAATGCCCCAAATGCGTCCAATTGCGTCCCGCTCCAGATATTTCATTCTACTCGATCGTGGAGTTCCAATTTTTTTGCTGTGTACCCTTGACAATATCAACAGTGAAACCCGTGCAAATTCGAGTAAACCAGCGTGACGAAAAGTCTCAAAAATCTCAATACTAAAGTTGCACTGCGCGCTTTTGAAATTGCCGCGATCGCGGCTCAACTTACGAGTGATTTATCTCGGGAACCGTTGCTCGCAGCGCTTTGCGGATTGTTTCTCCCGACAGGTGAGAGTTTTCTCTTCGCCCTGGATATTTCGATCGATGGATTTGAGCGAGATTAGACTGAGTTACGATCTTTTGAAGTTTTGCATTTGAATGCGTCGTTTACGACGCATTCAAGTATGGGGCGGCTCTTAAAGGGTTAAGATGTGTGGGTCTACCCTGCTGCTATTTTTCCCATCTTGCCCGATTCACAACTCGCAATGCATGTTCCTGACTGCATCCCTATTAGACAACTTCTCACAATCTTGTCTAGTTAGATGGCAACACATAGGAAGCATCCACATGCTCGTTTTTTTAGAATAATGTGAGTGAAGGATGAAGAAGGATACTAGATATTTGATCAAGCGTTTATATTCTTAGTAGTGGACAAAGAAAGGTTGACCAAAGAGTAGAGAAATACTTGTACCAATGCCGAAAATAAGGAACACACGCTCAACATGGGCGTACTGCTGAAGCAAAAAAATGAGATCAAAATAGAGTGATGTGGCATGTCGAAGATTCGGATGGTGCAACTAGCCAAACTGTAATTCTCATGAGAATAATTGCCAGTCCAGATTGGTTTACTCTTCTAGGTCCTTTGTCATGGCTGCATTCTATTATACATGAAGATGTTGAATCTTTCTGGGAACATTTTGAATCAGTTTCCAATACGGAATGATATCTCGGGGCTTGATTGGATCTGTGTGTTTGTTTGCGGGTGTGTTTTGCGTATGTGTTTTTCTGTGCTCGTGCATGCATATGTCTGTAACTAGGTCGCGGAGTGTGACGACTCAGGAATTAAGGTCTACTCTGAGAGGTTCACGTACGAGGCGAATCCCAATCCTGGGCAGGTCGATACGGATGCTCAAGAAGAGCGTAAGGAGATTGGAGCGGCTGCTAAAGAAATTGCATCGGAGTGCTCATACAATGGCAAGCCGATCCCGGACGTTGTGTGCAGGTACGAGAGCCGTGTCACCGACTTTGAGGGGTGGATCCTGCGCCTGGCTGTTGGTCTCTGCATGTGCGCCGGAGCGAGGCTGAGCGTTCGTTTGTTGACCGCGAGAATTTATTGATTGCCATGCTCGCCACCATTGGGAATGAGTCAACTGGCGGACATGATCTATCGATCGACGAGACTCTGTTGCTTAGTCTGACGCCGGAGAGTCCGACGGTATCCGAGTCAGGATTTTCCCCATGTCAACGACACCGAAGCGACCGGCGTTTGGCGTGCTAGGAGGCTTGCCCAAGACAGTGTATGCGGGGCTGGATCGTTCGCCGGAGCCCTCAGTAACGCAGTTGCCAGAGGGAGATCCAGATCGCCTCAACGAGCTGCTTGACGGTGTTTGGTCTAGTAGTTGGTCTAGTACTGGACGCGACCACGGTCTGCGTATTATTAGGGCACAGAGTATGCTTGCAACGCACCGGACTGAGTAGCCAAGCCTGGCTGCTATCACCTCGCCGGGAGTCCCTGGTTAGCATGGACGGACCTTGAGTGTCTCGTCGACCTGTGGTCCTACATAATCCATCCGTATTTGTACAAGAACTTCTCTCTGCTCGCCGCTCGGGAGAACGCCAGGATTTGTTACCAGGAAGACCGCATCCTAATCCTCAGCATACAGCGTCGGTGGTGCGAGGCCATGGAGCACAAGATCACGGGTCTGGCGAGCAGCAGTGGTTCAGCTACCTAGCGACACTGGATAACCAAAAGATGGACGCGGAGGTCGTCGGAGGTCGTGTGTTGCGGCCGGTGATAAGCAATCTTTTTGCTCCAGATGCTCCCATTTCTGGCCAGAACCGGCTCCCAGCCGCGCATTGTCTTCTACTGGGGCTCTGGTTGCAGGCAGTGGTTTGATGGATATGTGGGCCAACCTGCCGCTCTGTTCGATGGCCAAGACCTCTCCCCTGGAATGTTGCTCAGGGTCCTGGATGGAAATGGGATGCGATCAAGGGTGGTTTTGTGGGTTGTGTGTTCATCACGGCAGCACTCCATCCCAATGATTGGTATTGCGGCAATGACCAACGTGACGCGACTATCAGGGACCAGAATAATGGCACGCGCAACTGAGTGTCGGAACTATTACTGGCACTCGTGGTGTGCCGACGACGCGTCCGTGCCTGCAGACCCAGAACTTCTTGCAGAGTATGACGCTCTACACCCGTTGAATCTTCCAACGGCTGCCCCCCCCCCCCCCCCACCCCATGCATCTGACTTCGCTCCTGTACTGTACAGTGCTCTTATTATGCATGTTTACCAAGTTGAAACCTGGTGTGAGGGTGCGCATGATGAGATGGACGATGATTATGCCTTTCATGAAGCTCTGTTGCGCGCTCTGTTCACGTCTACTTCTGGTATGCCCTTAGATCTTGGACCTGCTGTTGACCACCCTGATCACATGTGCATCTGCTCTTGATTTCTGTGATGCCGATTCTTGTCCCCCCTCCCCTGTATGTATTGACCGAGTGTTGCCCCGTAACCGGTGTTCAGCACTAAATGCGCTGAGGCCTCGTCTCAGTATGCCATAGATGGGGACATGATGATGGGCAGAGGACATGATGGGTGTGTGTGTGTGTGTGGGCGTGTGCGTGTGTTTGTACCATTGCCCATGCGTGGCTACATGTGTAGGCGGCTGGTTTGTTCAGTATTTGCATGTCATACATCACAGGCATGAAGCGCAAGGAGCATGTGGGTCGCTGGTCAGCTGTTTGTGCTCATCATTGCAACAGCAGGCCTTGTGCGCCTTGTGAGTGTGATTCCAGGATGGAGTCTCTCGTCAGTTTCATGCGTTAGCTGGTCGGTATTAGGTTAACGACAATATTATTATCACCACTGACGGCTGTTCTCGCCGTATCTCCTATGTATGTCCTATGCATGTGGAGTGGTATGTGTGAACTGTCCAGTCGTTGACTTCATGGAACATGCTATCACTATCAGGCATATGTGTGTCTTTGCTGTGTTTACGGAGAGTGTGGCACTTGTCCCCCCCCCCCCCCGCATGCTATTGCAAACCGCTTTTAAAGCTGCTGCATTCCGCTGCTAGTGTCTGAACAGACTCTAGTACTGTACTTAGCTCTGGTACCAGCGCTCTGCCTTGCCCCAACTTGCCAATAGGCCTTGTCGTGCTTTACTGCTAGTATTGGAAGTTTATGATTGTGTTGCTATTACGAGGCTGGTCTTGCAGTAGACATTGGACGCTTGCTTGGGTACAGTTTCCCTGTAACCATGGTAACCATCGCGGCAATACTCAGACCTGCATAACGAGAGCAACAGGCGGGGAGTATCACACATCATGCAGCCAACTATTGCTTTCAAAGATCTCAAATGCGGTGTGTATGTGTGTGTTTGTGAGCATGTAGGCATGCGGTGTGTATGAGAATGAACTTGTGGGGAGCATGTTTTTGTGTTTCTGCTGTTGGCAACTCCCCCCCCCCCCCGGTAGTTTCTGAGCACTTCTTCAGTGCTTCATGGTGGCATGTACTGTAAAACCGGAAGTCTAACGACCAAACAGTTTAACGTTTTTTTGTAATTTTGGCATGATAACATGCAGAAAGTTTAACGATGGCTACCTGGCCGCCCATCCGGATGTGCATCTACACACAAACATCTAGCGATAACGTTTTTTCAAATAACGAAAATCAATTTGTCGTTAAAACGTTAGACTTTGTGACTCGTTAGACTTTCCGGTTTTACAGTAATGGTAGTATGCATGTGTGCATATTTTATTGTAGATCTTCCAGCAGTTCACCACCATAGTGAGTGTACTCAGGGACATAGTCATTGCATGTGTAGTGAACTAGTGGCAGCGCATGCGGCCCGTGTACCGTACAGATAGCATAGCATGGCCGGGATTTTAATTTCCCTGCATGCAATCCCTTTTCCTTTTCTTTCCTTGTTGTTGAGCTAGCTAGACATGGTATTGAGTATTGTTTAGGTGATGCATCAGTCTGGCTACCCTCAGATGAGTATTATTTTTATCCCCAGTTCCTTGATGATTATTGGTTTAGAGTATCGGGGTTACACCGTAGCTCATACAAAACGAGAACGCTACAATGTTTTAAATGAGCCTTGGTATAGCCAGAGCTACAAGGGTAATGTCTTGCATATCACATGTTACACCCTACAAAGCGAAACTGGTGGCAACTGCAACTAATTTGGATGACCATTTACATGAGAGTGCGAAGCATGCACAAAATGTAAAGAGAGAGAGAGAACCCTCTAAGATTCTCTAAATTGTCAGGATCGTACGACCACACGGCACGAGGACAACTCTTTTCCTTTAAACAGTATATTTCACTTCATCGAATAATTAACAATGAACACTAACAACACCAGCTATTTATAGCATGCAAAAACAGCGTACATGCAAAACATAAGCATATAAAACTGGACATAACAGCGTATACAGCAAAACGCACACAACGCATATAGCGTGTGCCATGCAGCAACATCAGCGGTACGGCGGAGTCGAAATACAACATTTCAACGAATACAATGCCATAAGCGCGAAGGCCTTTCCCAATTGAGAACTGGTGGTTTACAACATTCTCCCCACCAAAGGGCTTCTCACCGCCGTACAACAATGCACACAAGTCAAAAACGATCCGGGGCTCTGACTATGCGCCCAGAACGTGTCATCTCCTGCTGCCGTGGTAGTGGTAACGGTGCTGACGGTTCATACGCTGGCTGCTGAGGGACGATAGCAGGTTGAGCGGTATCTGCAAGCCCAGGAGCCACGTCCTGTGACGATACTTCTAATGGCACTAACCTTTGGATCGGCCTCAACAGGGTACTGGTACTCAACTTAACCTTGGCAACACGACGCTTACCATCTCGACCAGGGAATAACTCGATGATCCGTCCCAAACGCCAGAACTGTTTGCGCTTGGTATCATCGAGAACAAAGACAACATCACCCACAGCTAAAGGGCGCGACATGGTCTGTTGGTGTTTGTTCAGCTGACTTAGGTACTCCACCTCCCAACGATTCTTGACATGCTCCAGTGTCCGACTGAGGTAACGCAATCTCGATGACATCTGCGCAGCGTCTAGGGTACCTGCTGGCTTCTCTGACGACATCCAGATGTCACCCATCATCATTGCAGGGGTTACTGGTGGCTCATCCAGGCTATCAGACACATAAGTTAGCGGACGACTATTCAGCACTGCTTCAACCTCATACAAGAGGGTCTCAAGCTCCTGGACCTTCAGAAACGCTGTTCCCATTACCTTTTTCAAGGCACTCTTCACTGTACCAACCATTCTCTCATAGAAGCCTCCATGCCATGGTGCAGCTGGAGGATTGAACATCCATGGCACACTCAGTTTGTCAGATGCCGCCTTGAACGTTGTAGCGTTGTCCGACCTGATCCGAGACGGCAAACTACGTCTCGCGACAAACTTCCGAAATGCCATCAAGAATGACTCGGTACTTAAACTATCGACCACCTCCAAGTGAACTGCTCTGGTGGTGGCACACACAAACAATGCTATCCATACCTTTGGAGATGACTCACCACGGCGCACGTACAACGGACCAGCATAGTCGATGCAGGTAGTTGCGAACGGCCTCTCGTGAACGACTCGGTCTTCTGGCAGCGGCGGGCAGACTTCTGAGGCAGCCTTAGCCTTGTAGCGGCGGCATGTAACACATCGCTGAGTAATGTTGCGTAGCGCTCGTCGACCACCGATAATCCAGAATTTCTGACGGATGAACGACAAGACTCCTTCTACACCTTGGTGCATCCTTTCAACATGCTTTTTCTCCAACAGCAACTCGGTCAGATGATGTGTGCCTAACAGGACTGGGTGCTTGGTTCCATACGCCAACTCGCTGTGCTGAAGTCGTCCCCCGGCTCTGAGCACTCCATGCTCATCCAGAAACGGTGCAAGCTGATACACCTTCGACCCAGGCTTCACTGGTTGACCTTGCTTGATCAGCTCAAGATCCTCAGCGAAACATGCGGCTTGAACGATGCGGTACAATACGTTGTCTGCTGCAAAATAGAGTTCAGCACGAGGCTCAGTGTGCTTCCACTGCAACATCCGAGTCACCATGCCCTGTGCCCTCGACCATTTACTGAATCGGAGCCACCATTCCTTATCAGATTCTCGACTACAGGTGGTGGCTGACACTCGTACTTCTACACTGGACTCATCTGTAGCTGCGGTTGAGGATGCGGTGGGCCAGTCATTGGGCTCCGTGATCCAGGTTGGTCCGCCCCTCCAGAACGGACTACGGATCTGCTGTGCACTACTCCCACGCGACGGTAAATCTGCTGGGTTGTGAAGGCCCGGGCAATGGTTCCACACAATGCCGACCTTCTTCGATATCTCCTGGACTTGACTGACGCGGTTAGCCACAAATGTTTTCCATTTGTACGATGGATTACTGATCCAATGAACGGTAGTGAGACTGTCAGTCCAGCCATAGACTTGCGTGACGGTCACACGCAGCTCCTTCACCACAAACTCAGCGTAGCGAGCCGCTAGACATACTGCTTGTAACTCTAGGCGGGCTAACGTGGGTGGAGACACGGGTACCACTTTGGCTTTGGCAAATACCAAGTGCGACTGTCCATTGACGACTGCATACAAACAACATCCAAACGCTTTGTCACTGGCATCGGCGAAGGCATGAAGCGCAATCGGCGTCTCAAGAGTGCAACAAATCCAACGTGGTATGTCAATGCTCACCACTTCGGCCAACTCTCCCCACCATTGCGCACATGCGGCTGCGATGCCATCAGGCAACTTATCATCCCAGTCGCCTCCGAGGCTTGCTGTAGCAGTATCTTTCCCGGCACAACTGCCGGTGCTGCTAGACCTAGCGGATCAAACACTGACGCAACACACTTGAGGAGGGATCGCCGGGTCCAAACAGACGGCCTATCGGACTCGCCTAGCGCTGCTATGCTGAGCAAGTCCTCACTGGTTTTCCATTTCAGACCGAGAACTTTATCTCCGGCCTCTGGATCGCACGGGATTTCGTTGCCTCGCCACTTGCGTAACTCCATGCCAGCATCCGTAAGCACACGCACGCTGAACTCTTGCATCTCCTTAGCTTCCGAGGCATTTGAGACACTAGAGACCAAATCGTCGACGTAGAAACTCGTGAGCAAGAGATCAATACGATCTCGCTCTTTGGGTGCAGACAACGCCCGTAGCTCCTTCAAGTGATGCTGAATCACCGCAGTAAGCATGTACGGCGAGCAGTTTACGCCAAATGGCAGTTTCGTTAGCCTCCAGGTTAACAGTTCATCGCTGTCGCTTCGACCGGGCCACAAGAAACGCAGGTACGGTCGGTCTTCGGGATTAACCGCGACCATGAAGAAAGCCTTGCGGATGTCCGCTTGCAGCGCGCTCTTATATTCACGGAACCGTAATAGCATACCTGCGAGACTCGGCAATAGCGACGGTCCAGGGTCAACCATGTCGTTCAACGACTTGCCATCTGGAGCCGTCGCCGAGGCATTGAACACCACTCTTAACTTCGTGGTTGCAGCGTGCTCGCGGAATACACCATGATGCGGTACATAGT